TGCGTCCCAGTATATATTTTTTCAAAATTTCCCACCCTGTTTCTTACAGGTTTTTTTTTTTTTAACCTTTAAGACATGAGCTATTTTATTAATAGTTTTGAGTTGTTCTAGCCTATAGGAAATTCATAATATATACTAATTTTGCACCTTAATTTTTTTTCTTTAGAGGAGCTTTGCAGTGATTTAAGAGCTTAGTTTTTAGAGTTTGTGTTGTGAGAAGAGATCTTTGTAAGTAGTTGCCCAATTTTGCCCACTAAATTTTTCAGCCGTCTTTTTATCAATGCATAGGTTTAGTCAAGGCTGGCCTCAGTCAGTTTTGGGAATAATTACCAATTATTTAGTGCCAGTCCCTGTGCTAGAACTTTTATAATTTCTATTCCTCAAAACAACCCAACAAGGTAATTGGTATTGGGCCTCATTTTACAGAAAACTGAAGGTCACATAATGTGTAAGTCTCAGAAGTGAGATTTGAACCCAGGACTTATTCAAAACTTCAGTTTATACTCTTTTCACTGTTCTGTGATTCCTCCAGTTTGTTTGTTATTGTCACCCTGTAGAATAGAGTCCAGTTTCACTTTCCTTTGGTCCTTCTGAAACTGGGTTACACAATCTCCGGAGTACACAACAGAGTGTAGGATGCATTTGTAGCTGCAGGATAAACATGGCTCATCCTCTTGCAGTGTCAGTCATATTGATGATAAGTAATGTAAACACAGAATAAACACTTATAGCTATGGCTTAGAATGTAAAATTGCATGACTGTTTAAGATAAAGCAGAAGGCTTGCTTGCCCTGGGCCTCTCCATGGTGTTCCTCTCAGGTGCCTTGGACATATTAGTTTGGGCTAGTGTGTGACTAGAAGGCATATGAAAATTTGAGGACTGTAGAAGTGTATTCACTCATGAAAAGAGAGACTGGATAAGTTCATGCATTTTTCTGGAAAGAACAAGATTATTCATCTTATTCTCTTTTAAATAGAGCCAGGAAACCTTATTTTCCCATCTATTTGGCAATGAGCTATGAAAAAGCACTAGTACTTTGAGGATAATTAAATGATGTGCAGGCATTCTTCTGCTGAAAACTGGCTATCAAAACCACTCAAATAATACATATTCTCTCTAGAAAGGGCTTTGGCGGGGGGTGGGGGGCAGTTTATTCCCCACTCTTGGTTCTATTCATATGTGTTGGCAATGTCGATACAGATACTGTGCTCTAGGCCAATTGGTAAACAATTTTGTCAGCCTTCTATCTTTTTGGTGATTATTTTCTTCAATAAAATGGTTCATTTTAAAATTGTCTCCCAAGAAATATTGCCAGTAGCCATACTTATATGGTTACTAGAACATTCATTCATTCAATAAATAAATATTTGAGTCTTACTATATGTTAGGCTCCATTCTGTGTACTAGAAATACAAGTTGTGAACAAAACAGTCCTTGCAAGCTTGCATTCCAGTGGTGGGATACAAATTATAAATCCGTATATAGTGCAGTAGTAAATGCTGTAAAGGAAAATGAGGTGGGATGCAGAGCTTCTCCTGTGGCTTTTGCTGTGTTTAACAATGAGTTCTGTCTTACCTACAGACCTGTAGTGGTCATTCTAAGGACTTTTTATCCCATATCAGGAAATAATCTGTTACATCCCCCTACTCTTCTGTTGATAGAAACCTTTTCCTGCTCAAGTTAGGGATTTTCTGATGCTTTTGTATGATTTCAACTCATGTATACTATTCCATATCAAGCCTACTCTTAACCAGCAGTGTTTAATAGCTTTTGCATGGTTACAGAGTCTTTTCACCAATTTGATTAGTTATATTTTATGATCCTTTTCTGAATAGCTTTTTGAAGATCAGATTAAAATTTGCAGTCCAATAGCTGAAAACCATGCTTTCACTTAGGAGATGCTGTGTGCCTTCTAAAGTCTAAACCCTGATAGAAAAAACACAGATTGATGTTTTTGATACCAATAGGATTTTAACAATAATAAATTTTATTGTTTGTGATGGGAATCATTGTATACTATTTTTACATGATTCCATTGACTCCTGAATAACAGAGCTATTGGTAAGCCATATGACTTGGAGCATTCCTTAGATTTGCTTCAATTTAGTAAATTCTGGAAAGCATCAGATAAAAGAGTTGATAGCTCTAGACAGCTGCGTAGAATGTCTGAGCTTAAGATCTACACCTATAATTAAGAGAATGTCTTCGGATACCCAGACAGCTCCCAGTTTTAGAAGCAGATGTACTTTGGACTGGCCAGATGTACCTTAAAGGGGCTAACCCAGATCAGTTATTGTGATAATTTGTGGGAATTTTTTTTTTTTTTTTTTGTCTGCTCAATGGCCATCTCTTTTGATATTCCTCTATAAAAGATTTTCTTCATTTCTTTCCTTGGAATTAGGCAGACTTGTTTCCTTATGGAACTTCTGTCTTGAGTTCTTTCTGTTTCTGCTATTATAGCATATTGCCATTGAATGAGGATATTTCCTGAACTAGAGCCTATATGCAGGCTCAGCTCTCAAATTTCTGGCTCTATATGATTCTGCTGCAGAGCCCATGTAACCATACTGAAATTCCTTTAGCTCATAAGTTACAATAAGTGATCATAGAATCACTGCTTTCCATCCAGTTACTGAATTAATAGTGCAACAACACATTATTGTTCAACATATATAGTTCAACATGAACTGAGTACCATTCAGCACTACTTCAGACATGGTAAAGAGACCACTCTTTGGCAGTAGCCAAATGTTAGTATTATTCTTACTGCCATTTAATGACTACAACTACCATGCTTTAGATTGGGGACTGGGGAAAACTGTACAACTAGCAAGAACATTTGGACTTGGGTATCAGCTACAGACCTTTAGGAAAATTCTGCTCTATTTTTAGCATTTGAAATATTTTTTTTTTCTGAAATTGGCACTTCTCCCCTTTTCTTCCTGTATCCTGATTTAGTTGGCCTGTAGTTGACATTTTTTTATGGAAAAAATGGCAGCCTCAGTAAGGCAATCCTGGGAACAATGGGAAGTGTACAACTCCAAGAGACAGTTAAAACACAATATGTGGACACCTAAAATTGGGGTTAAAGCCATGCCCTGCACGCTTACTCCTTTTCACTCCTGGTTCCCACCAGCTCGTGGGATAACACATATCATTCTGGATTTTACAAGTCCTAGCTTGACTGATTTTGTACCCTACCCAATAAGTATGAGCTCAGAGTATTTCCAAACAGATGAACCTGACTGTAAGTAATACCAGTAACTGAACTGAAATGGTTAATGTCTAGTTCAGGCTGATTTACAACAACTTTCCTGGGTATTTGCTCAGTTTTCTAGCTTTCTTTTTTTCTTGATTAATATCTGCTTCATCCTGTTTGTCATTGTAGATAGGAGAGGCCACTCACTGGGTAATTGGCTTCCATCCTTGCTGACATCTCCCCAGTAGTCACTCATGCCCATCATTGTGCTATCACCTTGCCATATTTTCAGAGAGGAGGAGAACCTCCCTTAGAATCTTTTCCAGTCAAGAAGAAAGATGATGGGCCGGCCCGGTGGCGCACTGCTACAGTGCCCCACTTGGGAGTGCGGCGGTGCTCCCGCCGAGGGTTCGGATCCCACATACAGCCCGGCTGCTCGCTGGCTGAGCGAGGTGCGGGTGCGACACCGAGGGTTGCGATCCCGTTGCCGGTCACGAAAAAAGACAAAAAGGAAAAGAAAAAAAAAAAAAAGAAGAAGAAGAAAGATGATGAATAAAGTCTGAATAAGCTATAGTTTTGATAGTTAGAAAACATGTTGAAATTGTTCTTTTCGTTTGCTTTCTGGACATAGCACAATTAGGTGAACCTTTAATCGCTGGCTACGTGTCTCTGATACTTTTTGAGCTATGTCTGTGTCAGATCAGAGTTCTTGATTCTCATTGGGTTGTATCTGATATACTGAACATAAACAAAGGAGTGTCAGGATTGTTTTTCAAGTTTCTTCCATGGTTTTGAATAAAATTGATGAGCAGCATGAGGGCAAGTGCATTTAGGTCTTTTCCAGCTAATATTCACGTAATATTCAAAGATAAAAAGAATGAAATCTAAAAAAATACAGGCTGTAAATGGGCTTTATTTGCTTTGGTCTAAACACCACCAGTGAGTACCTTTTTTTTAATTGAATTTAGCATATTAGGTAAAACTGCTATTTCCTTTCTAGTGTGTTTTTTCTTTCTTGCCATCAAGTACCAATCAGGTCCATAAAGAATTCTCGTTCAAGCTTGGATTGTGAGCCTGTTCAGAAGGTGATAATGGTTGGGGGAGATGGTGGGTAAGCCTTCCAGAAAGTCATCACACATCAAAGTATCAGGACAAATGAGACATTTTATAGGTTTCTTTCCATTATTTTTGAACTTAGCCTTTCCTCTCCTTTAGAAAGGGTTTTTCTTTCTGCTCAAATTTTGGCTTCCTTTTAATTCAGAAGTAAGCTCCAAGTCATTTCTGAACAGATGAATCTTGTCTAACTCCAAATCATAGTTAATTTTTTAAGGCAATGTTTTCAACCTCGACTGTATATTAGAATCAACTGAAGGAGCTTTTCAAAATTTTGATGCCCAGGCTGTGCTTCAGAATGATTAAATCACTATCTCTGGGAGTAAGACTCAGGTATCACTATTTTTAAAGCACCTCCCCACCACCACCACCAACACACACGCACAGGTGATTGATTCCATTGTATATCTGAGTTTGAAAACCACAGTTACTAGAACACATTTGAATCTTAGGCTAAGAAACCTCCAGGTTTTCATGAAGGGGAAATTAAAAATTAAAGACCTTCCCTAATCAGGCTGCCTTTACAAATTTATTTTGTACTTTTTTTTGTTTTTTAAACAAATATCTACCCTGTGCTTCAGTCTAACTGGACTACTCATTATTCTTGATCATGCTTTTATTTTGCCTTTTACCTTTTGTTCATGTTGTTTTGAGAAATGACCCTCCTCATTTTAGCTTTTTATAAGTTCTCTCATTATAATCCCACACCACCACCTCTTTGAAGCTTCTCTTTATTATCCTCTAGCTAGAAGAAAGTTCTTCCCTTCAGAACTAACTTTTTTTGTTTTAGTGTATTCTGCATGGTTTTACATTCATGTTTTATTTCTCCACCCAATTTGCAAAGCCTGGTTCTTATTTATCTATATAGTTCCCTCATTGCCTGGCATCTCTACATCCCCTGTGATGCCTTGCATGTAATAAATGTTATATAAGTGTTTGTTTTGAGTGGAAGGAATGTCATGCTTTTCAGATGTCATGCTGCAGATGTGTGCTTTTCTACTGCCAGGGAGAAAGCAGATGTGTAATATCTTTTTATTTGCTTTCACACTTTTCCAATTATTCAAATTCTTGGTTGGGATGACCTTTTTGTTTGTTTAAGCATGTGATTTTTGTCCCATGTCCAACCACTAGGTAGTCTTCAGGCACCAGATTCTGGAACTATTGGCTCTGTGGTTTGGAGTGCTCTGTAGTTTAGTGTAGTGCATGGTTGCTACTGACAGTTTTGAAGCACCTGCCAGGGTTATTTTCTGTCATGGTGGAAACAGAATTTTTTCATAGGCCTCGTTATTTTTGAATACAGATTGATTTTAAATTTTGGCAACACCATTTTGTATACTACTGTCTTTTCACTGAGAAGATAAATAAATCCTCTTTCCCTAATCCTGAAGATGCAGTATAATTTTGTTTTTAACACAACCACAGCAAGTTTCCACCACTAAATGACAGATAATAAAGAAAAGTGTTTTCAGAGCAGACAAGGCATTTGATGTTTCAAAGAGGTGTTTTAGACGCTCAGTGACAACTAGGGAGAAAGCAATTGTGGAATGTAGCAACAACAAAAAGTAGTTTTTGCTTTTTAAACAGTGCCATTAGTTGTGTATATGTGTATTTCTTGCATGCCAGCTGTTTGCAGCTTCAGTTCTTGTGTAATGTTTTTGTCATTACAGACTGACTTCAGGGTGAATTGTATATATCATAGTCCTGAAAAAAAGCAAGACTAAGACCGTGTGGAATTATTTTCCTGTCAGCTAGCTAATTTGGGTAGTCTAATTCTCTAATGCTCAACATCCTTTTAAATAATCTACTCTAAATAAATCACAGCATTTCTCCTTAGTATTATTGATGCGAGAGAGATTTGAAGCATTACATTTCTCCCCAGGTAGGAAATCTTCCTATCCCACCTATTTTCTTTCTTAGGAATGTTCTAAACTCTAGAAATCACTTTTGCTCCACCTATAATTTTTGAGGTTTGAAATTGCAGTTCAATACTGGTTTGATTCCCACGTTCCCAGTGGGACAGAAGGTTTTGTAGATCAAAGCACATTTTAGTTTTTCTTTGCTTTTTCTTTTTCCCCCCCTTAAATTTCCTTTTAAAGAAAAAATAAAATATATTTAAAACATTGCTGCTTAGGGATAGAACTTCTTGGAATATGCAAACTCTTTAAATCTTGTTTGGGTTTGTGCCTATGTACCCCAGTGGAAAGACTGGATCTGAAACATCTCTGAGATGTCCCAGCTCCATCTTCTTTCCAAGTTTTCTCAAAACTCCCACAGACCATCACTATCACCATTTGGTTCCCGTAGGACATAATTCTTTGCAATCTAGAATTTCTTTAAGCTTTGGGAGACAAGTTGAATGGCATGTATTTCCAGCAACTTGGTAGATCAATTTACAGATTCTATATGGGCACCTAGTACTTAGCTAAATGAACTCTACCTCTCTCTCCTCTCTCTTCTTTCTCTCTTTCAGCTTGGCAGTGACCTTGGCGGGGGCATTGGAGGAAGTCCGGCAGTAAGTGCCATCTGTTTTTTTCACCATGGGAAGCGCTGCCCCCTGTTTGATGCTTTTCCTATGCACACATACCAGACCAGCCACTGGTGCTATCTAGCACTGCACACCAAAACCTCCATAATAGTATATGAGGAGCAGAAAGTAGTATAGGGTTATTTGGAGTCTTTGGGGTCATGTACCACATGTGATATAGGGACATCTTTAGGGATTGGTGCTCTGATGCCTATAGAGATCTTTGTCTTTCTGACATTAAAGAGCTAAAGGAAATGGAACCTCCCATCTTGACTGGAGAATGCTCTTATTCCCTGGTGCCATCTAGAAAGAACTTGAGAGAGTCAGCTGGACTCACAGTGAGACTCTCCTCATAAGTGAATTAGTTTGGGGAGTGTGAATATCCATCTTCCCCAGGAGAGCTTCCTACTAAATATTTATGCCTAAGCAGGGAAGTAAGACTTGACCAAACCCAAGTGGGAATGGAACTGCTGTTTAAGTTGGATGCTTCTCCCTCTTTCCACAGAAGCAAACTCCCCCTTTGTTAAGGTACCTGTAGGCCTTTTTCACAGAATCATGGAAGCTAAAATTGGAAACAAACAGACAAAATCTTGGATCACTGTGTTCCTGTATCCTACTGAGTGCTCTCTCTTGATAAAGCTTCTAAAGAGTGTATCTTATGAATGATGAGAAAACAACTGTGATGATTAAAAAGTCAAAGCAATATACTAATTTGACTCCTGAGAATATTGTAATTATGGTGTTTTCTTGTTAATTTATCTATGCTAAAATATATGGCAACATTTTAAGGACTATTGATCTGTTCTTCCTGATCTCCTCCCTTCCTTTTTTTTTCCTGCAGGTGGGACAATCCTTCATCCCATCATCAGTGCCTGCAACCTTTGCTCCTTCACCTACTCCTGCTGTGGTCAGCAGTGGTCTGAATGACCTATTTGAACTTTCCACAGGGATAGGCATGGCACCTGGTGGATATGTGGCTCCTAAGGCTGTAAGTAAAGAGTTAGCATAGCAATACTTTTTTAACAGAAGAAACCCAAATTACTTTACTTCTAATGTTTGTGTTACTTTCACTGGTAATAAATTCAAGGTTTGGGCCCT